TGCCCTATAGGGGTGATAATCCCCAATAGCGCCCTGCTAGAAAGGTCGCGACCCCATCTAACATCAACCTGAACCACGAGGTCATAATCCTCTTGGCCAGTTTCTACGATTCGACTGAATATATATACATTACAGTAATTTGAGTCTATGGGCCTGAAGGTGATCATTGGGAGATTGGGAGCACTTAAACCCCACAAATACACAAAGTGCATGTATTCCCCATAGACGAAAAAGGCCGACACAAAATGCGAATTGTACAAAACATATAAATAGGCATGTATGAAGATATATGCGCACACCGCATGCATACACAATTTTTTTAGTATAATATTATTCTCTCTTTTTGCAATATATTTAAGGCGGGGTTGATCCCAACTATAATTTATAATTTATAATACTATAATTTATTGCCTTCACATGTTGGTTTGCTTAAGTTTTCGCTAAAGGAATTAACAGGAGGACCTCTAAGATGGAGAGAGTGTGAGCCAGAGCTCTCTGCATGTTGTTTAATGATGATCTAGGGACCACCATTATTTATACGGAGAGAGTAAGGGCACACAAAACCGATAAGGGCATGCAAAAACTCTAATAGGTTTTTCTACAGAAACAAGTGAACCTCTAGAGATAGCACGGGAACAGGCGGACCCCTGTTCAGTCATCCATCACCTGTCTCTAGGTCAGGTCATAATCAGAATAACCAGTAGAAGTGCACTTCACGTGGTGAGGTGCCACGAGGAAAAGGCTCGGTTTTGGAGCGCTTGATCAAGACATCATAATATTCCACGTGGAGGATATTCGAGTAGAAAATAATTTAATTGCGGGAGAGGTGGCACTCGGGATCAAATGGAGAATTACACGTGCATTCTCTACAGCGCAGGAAACCTAAAAAGGCCCGAGTGAAGGCGGCCTAAAGCATCACTTTGTCTAAAGAGTCTGTGGGATTTGAAAAATTACGTGGAAGTAAGACACACTAAGTATATGTTTTAAAGTTGAATATGAAACAGATTTGGATAGATGGCCGACGAAGTAGAGCAGGTTAAGTTCAGTCGCGGGCAGTAAAGGTGAACAGAGTGTCACGATACCTTTTGCAAGGCAAAATGAAATGAATTGTTTTACGCCGGCGGTGTATGTTTGTTTAGTTGACGGTGCCCATGAATGCTGAATAAGTTCATAAACACGGTCCTTTAAGTTTGAATCATGGATACTGGGATGACGCAGGGCAGAGGAGAGGCCAGTGGCGCTAATTGTTTGAAGCGGTCCATCTGAAAACGAGAGAGTGAGTCATCAATGCCATCGTCAAATCCGCGTACATGCCTATGGCCGTAAATGTAAAGTTGTTTTTCAAAGTACAAAGAACAATCGGTCGGAGTAAATTCATTATGTTCGGACATTTGACTTCTTCTGATTGAGAATTTGGACAACGGACTCGTTGTCACAGAAAAACACATTATGTTTCGTTGCCTACTGGGCACCCCAGAGACAACATGCAAGATAAATTGGGTAAAGCTCTTGCCATCCAATCGAAATATCAGTTTTCTTAGCGATATTTTGGCTAGGTAGCCACCGGCACTGAAACTATATTCCTGCTAAGTAGCCACCAAAACCGATGAAACCTGCTCCATGTGTAAACAATTCAAGTGAGGGCGAGGGGGTCTGCCCGAGCTCAAAAAAGAGACAAATGCCGTCCCAGTGTTTAAGAGAGACTTCCCCACATGGTTAAATCCTTATAAAAACCCGTGTTCAACTTCGGATTGAACTTCGGATCGGGTTTCGCTATAAAACAGCTCGGGCCTAGTTCAAGATAGTAAAGGCCAACTGTGTGTTTTTAATACTTTTTATCCACTATTCTCCGCGAAATAAGGGTCGTTTTAAGATTAGATGAAACGAAGGGGTGACGGGGCTCCGTATACCCAATTTTAAAACCCGCCCTTAACCCGAGCAAATTCGCAATTAGTTAGCATTCGCGGTTAGTTAGCATTGTCCCCAGTAGATTAACGTTAATTGTAACTGGTTTTAATCTATCAACAAACTCTCTACTTGTGTTTTCTGCGACGCGGAGTGTCATCAGTTCTCGCAGAGCTGGTGTCAGCGTGTTCATGTGCCGCATGTCGTCCGCTACAGCCGAATCGATTACACTGATGTTCGAAAGACAAGGGGTTTGTTGAGCACGGGAGGCCCCTGTTAAAATTTCGGCAGAATCCTCGGTTGGATAAATTGCTTGACCGGCCGGCTTCCGACCTTGTTCGCTATATACTCGTTATTCGCGAGTGAATCGCACACTCGCTACTCGTTACTTCCAAGTGATTCACGAGTGACTCGCACACTCGTCATTCACGAGTGATTCGAACAGTTATAATCACGAGTGACTCGAAGACTCGCTACTCGTTACTAACGAGTGGCGTGAAGTACTCGCGGGCGGTACTATATGCACAGGAAGCGATCCGCAGTGACGAATCGCTTATGTTTCACATGCACAGTATGTATTTTTTCCAAGTCAGATGTGCGAAAATAGAAGCTCAATGATACTTATTTCAACATTGACTGTCACAGACCTTTACGAAAAAAGCCCAGGAGGCTGTTTTGAGTAACGCGAAAACGGGTTACTATACGCATTGATGATTGTTCTCTTTAATAAATTTCTTTAGTAATCTGAGAAAAGAGCAATGGAAAACAGTTTACACAAACGTAAGAAGAATCAGGAAAACTTACAGATGCAGTTATGGCTGGAGGCAAAGTGGGTCTAGTTGCACAATACGTAAGTATAGAAATATAGATGCTGAAGTTAATTATTCTTGCAACGTAGAGTAAAGTTAACACCTACATGTAAAGGTGCAATTTTTAGATATTTGCTGATACCTGCAAGGAAAAATTTCATGCTAAGAATACAATTACTTGTTTTTGGAAATGTTTGCCATTTCCCTGATAAAAATCTTATTTCAAGACATTTTTGTACTCCAGCCAGTTGCTACGGCTGTTATGGTCATGGGTATTGTTATCGTCCATGGACGTGTTCTTGCTATTCGGGATGGACAGGCTCACGATGTCGAAGTGGTAATATCCAGCATTAAAACCTTGCTTAAACATAAAATCTTAATCTTTTTTATAAGAAACTGTCATAAACCACTTATTTTCAAAGTTGTAATGTAGCATTTGTATGTCTTTCGATTCGATTCTGTCTCTACGAAAAAGCTATTCGAAGAGTCTATTATAAGCCGGTTTTCCACTAGGCGGAATTTTTGAGAATTCGACCGTAGCGGATTGCCTTCACCGGTCACAATTGAAAAGAAAATCGAGCGAAAATTCTCGTTTGGTCGAAAAATTCCGCTAGTGGAAAACCGCCTTAACATCGACGAACTTGACATGTTCGTGACATTCTTGTTGCAATGGAACTTTGAAATAATTGGCAAGATAATAGATGTAATAAATAGGCAGGGGCACGTAGGATACGGGAGCATGTGCCCCGCCTAATTTTTCAAGGGACCAAAAGTGCCTTTTTTGCAATGAAAAATGAATTCTTGGAGAGGCTTATGGAGCTATGAATACTATTTTAAAATCGAAGGTGCCCTTGTTTCCTACGTATGCCCACTTGCACGTGCCTGTTAAACAGTGACGACATTTTGTGGGGCATAAATATAAATCAGACTAGCAGCGTCCTTGCCGCTTTGGCAATCCTGTCCCTATATACATATTTTTAGCATTCCTGCCCCTGGAAGCTGTTGTCCTCTACAATCTCTGGATGCTTACTACGCCCGTGTAAACAGGGATAAGATTTCCCTTGTGAAATATTGAACTCCGTTGTTATATATATATATATATATATATATATATATATATATATATAATAAATATATATATATATATATATAATATAATATAATATAATATATATTATATACTATATATATATATATGTATATATATATATATATATATATATATATATATATATATATATATATATATATATATATATATATATATATATATATATATGGCAAATCACTTTACCTATAAACATTTTTTTCGTTTATAATAATTATATTTTTTAACTTTAACGAATGCAAATTATACAGTGTGTTAGGACGAGTTCTAAAATCTATTTACATAATTTGGGAAAAACCTGAGTGGTCAACTGGCTGCATTGGCCTATCAGAAACAGTCATTGTAAGCAATTACATTAAAAGGTAGACTTTTACTAGTACTAACGATGAACTCATAATGCCTATATGGTTGCAGGCATATAGACGTATTGTCTCCAATATATATATATATAATTTGAGTGATCATGTATTACAACAACAACTTTATAGATATAAACGAATGTTCTCAAACTTGGAAAAACAGTTGTAGATATAAACCTGGCTGTGTCAACACTGATGGGAGTTACAGATGCACATGTGCAAACGGTTTTCGCTTGGGCTCTGACAGCAGAACATGCAATGGTATATGTAGAGACTTTACATCATATCTTTACGCCTTTCTGAATAATTAGGAACGTAAATGCTCTTAAACATGCGTGCATGGTCGAAAAGGAGCAGGAGTACGAAATTTTCGATGCGCGTCGTCTATAATTAATTAACAAATAATTAGAAATACATGCATGCAAAATCCGCTCGCCTGAAGCAATAAACCTATGTTTTCAACCGTGAAATTCCATAATACTCGTTTCTGCTGAATGATTGAAGTCGTAAAGTAAAATCCTTTATCAAGTACAATTATAAAGCCGACTCTCGAACAACAAATTCAACTATAATCATAATTCTGCTACGAATAGTTTTAAATACTACAATTTTTACCAAAATTTCAATTCCTTTTTAAACAGATTAACCTTTAAAAATATATGCCAATCAAAATAATTTTAACGAAATTGACGAATAAATTCAATAATTTCAATAATTTCAAATAACTTCGATATTTTAAATAAAAAATTCTACTAAAGTGAGTTTTTCGGTATTTATACATACGATGTGTGGAAACTTGATGAAATGATTATGTACATAATGACGTGGTACACATGCAGCTTTTGCATGGCTGAAAAAATCTTAACCATTGATATCATAGATATTAACGAGTGCCGGTCAAGCAACACCAATGGATGCAGACATCCTGCAAGCTGCCAGAATACTCAAGGCAGTTACAGATGTACCTGTAGGAGTGGTTATTATCTGGCTAGTGATCAAAGAACTTGTAAAGGTAAATATACACGAACTTATCGCTTCCTTTAATTAACATTATATCTGAGCATTATCTTGTCACGATGAGCTCTAGCTGTTTCCTGGGCATGAGTTTTAGGCAATAAACGAGTCATGCAGACACCACTTGGAATAATTATGGCAATGTGCGTATTGCATAACGCACGCGCCGGTTTATTAATTTTGCAATGAATGACATAATAAAAAACTTTACTTCAAAACAGAGCCGACTTTGCGCTATGAAGCGAAGAGCAGAATGAGGCATATGCGCATTCTGCTACATATATGTATCGCCGCTCCCATCCGTTTTGCTGCACGCGGGCTATCTTTAAAAGGGGGAACGGGGAATGGGGGAATATCGGGGAATATCGGGGAATATTGGGGAATATCGGGGAATGGGGGAATAACGGGGAATATCGGGGAATATCGGGGAATATCGGGGAATATCGGGGAATATCGGGTAATATCGGGGAACAACGGGGAATATCGGGGAATGGGGGAATAACGGGGAATAACGGGGAATATCGGGGAATGGGGGAATATTATATTCACCCAGCAAATTTTTAACAATTAATCATCCCAATGTAAAAGTAGCATGGCCGTTTAAAAAGAATAATGTTAGACTTTTTCGACCGCAATCCAATAACACAACATATCAAAGCATCACAACCTACTAATAAATAATGCATTATCTGGTCATAAAATTAGGAAAATGAGAAGAATCGGTCATAAAAAGTTTCAAAAGGATAATTTTCGATTGAAACTTTTAAAGTTTCTGCGTTTGACACTAACTATGGTGGAACTTCATTAAATACCAGTACCTAAAACTTTTTGCATATGACGTTGAAAGAACATAACGTAACATAACATAACAATTGCTTTTTTTCATGCATTAACACAACCGAAGTTATGAAACCTAATAATCAATGTCAATAGTCGATACAAATACTTATATTCATTTTCAAAAGATATATAGTTCTTAAGGTTTCACGGTTCAGGTATTAACGTCTAAACCAAATTCATTAGTAAGTCTCTCAATATGCTCCGATCGAAAATAACGTGCGAAATAAAAATAAAGTAATAAAGTTTTTCGTCTCAGACGGAAATCCGTCTACTAGTACTAAAATAAATTCTGCTGAGTATGTGGATATATGAAAACAAGGCTTTTCCGTACCATTAACGAAAAGGACCGAAGTTGTAAGTGGGAATTTGAATTCCCGTCTGCGTCGAGTTTTTCCCGATATTTAGGTCCTCCGTCCTAAATATTTCCTAATTTTATGACCAGATAATGCATTATTTATTAGTAGGTTGTGATACTTTGATATGTTGTGTTATTGGACTGCGGTCGAAAAAGTCTAACATTATTCTTTTTAAACACGCCATGCTACTTTTACATTGGGATGATTAATTGTTAAAAATTTGCTGTGTGAATCTAATATTCCCCGATATTCCCCGTTATTCCCCGTTATTCCCCGTTATTCCCCGATATTCCCCGATATTCCCCGATATTCCCCGTTATTCCCCCATTCCCCGATATTCCCCGATATTCCCCGTTATTCCCCCATTCCCCGATATTCCCCGATATTCCCCAATATTCCCCGATATTCCCCGATTCCCCGTTCCCCCCATTCCCCCATTCCCCGTTCCCCCTTTTAAAGATAGCCCTGCACGCGTTACATTCATGTGATCAGAAAATTACGGGGAAATTACCCAAGTGCCCCATATTAATTCGCCTATGTTATATGATAAGCTCAGGAAGCAATAAATCTTTATTGGTATGCCAATAATTCCTTTTCACAGTAAATACGACTCACTCGATGATTCTGTTTTTATATATTCAGATATTAATGAATGCATTGCATATCGAAACGACTGTGGTTACAAAGCTGGTTGTCAGAATACAATTGGAACTTATTTATGTACATGTCCACATGGATATTATCTTGATGGTGACAGAAGAACATGTCGAGGTAATACAAATATTATTGTGAATATAAGGAAGAAAAACGTTATAATCATCCGTTGAACAAAAGCTCACAGCCACGCAGGGGACATGAATCACAGTCACCGGCAAAACGCATGACTAATACTCAAACTAAATAATTATCCAATACTTTTGTAGACTTCGCTTATTCAGGTAACTGTTTGTCATTCGGAAAGAGAGGTTTCGTCAATACTGCTTGTAAGAGTAATAATTTTCTTATGCAGACATCAATGAATGTGAAGGCAGTGACTGCGAACAGAACTGTATTAACTACCCTGGTGGATATAACTGCTCTTGTTATACTGGGTATCGAGTTAACAGGAATGACTACAAACTCTGCAATGGTAAGTAGCCTAACTGTTACTGGAACCCAGTGATATACCAGTTTAATTTGGGTAAATAAATACATTTCCCTCTCTCTCTTCCTCTCTAATTACTTAACGATCAAAACTTTCCACTTATTTGACTGAAATGTACTCTCATCTTGGTAAATATTGGTCCAGGTGATACTTTTTACGATAGAAATAAAAAGTTTGCAAAACTGTTTTTTTATAAAAACAAAACAAACTTCTATATATATTCGGTCTTATATACAAGAATCTGTGTTCAGGTGTCTTGAAATTCCGCTCGCTGCTACAGCTAATCAGATTGCATGCAGGGAAGGCGAGGATTCCAACTGCTGTGGATTTGTAACATAAAATATTAATACTGTACTCACTGCTTTTTGCTTTAGATATTGACGAATGTTCTGAGAAATTGGCAGGATGCGCTCAAATATGCACCAACACTATTGGTGGTTTTCGTTGCAGTTGTACGGCAGGATATCTCCTTAATTTGGATAAAAAATTCTGTGATGGTAAAAAATTATGATAAAAGATTTTATTATAATAAAGTAATAAATAAAATAAGTACGTACAACACAGAAAATAAATTCTTGCTTATGATTTGTGAATATGCTATAAAACTATGACATTCTCGTACTCCCAGCTCCACCCTCCTACATCAGCTGCGAGATAACAGTTTCATTGGCCCGAAGTTTTGCTAAAGAATATTTTTTACGATGTAGTCACGAAGCCAGAGCGCTTGTTATTGAAAGAATTGCCCAATGTAACTTCAAAAAGTTATGAAAAGTTTCCCGTCCATTAATTTTGATTAACAAATCTTCGCCGAAGGCGAGGTAGATATCGCTGGAAATAAACCGAGAGGAAAGCGAGCTTAGGGCGAATAATTGTTTTAACCTCCCTCAACAGTGGTTCAATAATTACTGATTTGCTCTGCATTGTCTTCCTTTTAAACTAGTTAATTTTTCTCTTCTTTTGACATGTTCAAAATTAAGATATTGATGAATGCAAGGGCAATGAACATGGTTGTCAACATTCTTGTGAGAATTCATTGGGATCGTACAAGTGCCGATGCAGAGCTGGTTTTCAATCGTCCAGCGATGGAAAAAGCTGTACCGGTAATGTAACAAAATCAGTAAACATTTCGGGCATCAATATTTATCATAATTTAGTTAAGCGCATCCACGAGACAAGTTAAAACTTGCTTTGCTTACCAGGTAAGCCCTGTCTACCTATTTACACGCCAGTGAATGGTAAGAAGACCTGCTCAGGTTATACAACTGATGACACTTGTTCATTTTCGTGCTTTATTGGCTATAAAGAAATTGGTTCACATACACGGAGATGTACTGCCTCAAAACTTTGGAGTGGAAAAGAGATGAAATGCAAAGGTTAATATTTATATTTTTCGATTCTATATAAAAAATTTATAAACGATAATTATTTTCTTTGTTTGCAAAATTATGCCTAGCTTGGGATTAACTATATCGAACTCAACCATTGAGATTAAAATAAAACTGAAAAATGAGGGATTCCCAAACTTTGCTGTTACAAATGTTAAGATATTTAACTACATTCGCTATTCCTATATGCATTCGATCACGGTAGTTTTTTACTAGAAGTACACTAATGCAGATTCCGAACTTTGTTCGAGCTGGAAAAATAAGAAACGGCCGTAGATTTCGATTTCTTTGAAGTTGGGCTGAAGTTAATGAAACGAGTATTCGACCAGAATTGCTTCGTTGTTACTAGCTTTTCTTTGACCACTTTATTCTACCTGTTTATTCTTTGATGTGGGGCTGTAAATTAAGGAAACGGAGGCCAGCTGCCTCCCTTCTGTTACTAAACCCCTCCTTTCTGACTTGTGCGAATGCGAGCTCTGAAGTTTAGATGAGCGCTTTAATGAGACGTAACCATATTTTTTGTCCTAGCGATCCACTGCCCCGTGCCTCCAGTACCAAAAAATGGATTCATTTATTCACCGTGCAACACTCGATTCAACTCGGAATGTGTAGCAGGCTGCAACGAAGGATTTTATACAAACGAAACCGTCAAATTAAAATGTTCCGTGATTGGTACTTGGGAGCATAAACCAGTAGTATGTAACGGTAAGTGATACGAAGTGGTTTCTGGATACGTCATTCAAATGTTTCCTGAAAGTTATCCCTAAAAATGTTGCCCTTACTTTCTCCAATTAATAGTTGAGAATTTAGTGAATGACATTCTTATAACTTGGGCGACAATGTACGTTCTGTAATTATCTAGAAATTAAAGTTTGTGAGCCCAATCCTTGCCGTCATGGAGGAGTATGTACTACTTCAACACCCCACCAGTTCTCTTGTGATTGCTCCAATACGGGATACGATGGCATGAAATGCGAAGTTGGTGTCGTAGATATACCTGATTATCCAACATTAGTCGCAGGTGTACCAGTTGAGTCTGTCGAGTTTCAAGCTTCACCGCCGGAGGATTACGTTATCCTCACACCTCAAAGTGTCGGGGTCGTGTTCAAGCCTCAGTTTTTAATTTTTCAGCGAAATGCTACCACGAAACTGTTACTAACAGTGACAGCCCGACATTCTGGTCTTCACTACGTTCGATACTATTTATCAGGCCCGAGTGCTGCTGGGTACCAGACTCCGCAGCCAAGCGCGTTTTTTGTGGAAACTGTCGAGGAAACTGGTCCGAACAATTTCACAGCATATGATAACATGGAATTTCCATCTGGATGCCACAAATTAGAGCTTGCCAAGTGTCCGCTTTCGAATGTAACAATTACCGCGTATTCCACCTCAAACTGGCTTATGTTTGGTCCTACAGCAACAACTGAGGGTAAAGTGAGTCTGGGCAATGGAAACGACCTCATACCTCATTCAATGGCAGGTTACAGTTTCATTCCAACGAGTCCATCAAGTCTGGCTAACGACTGCGTAGTTAAAACACCACATTCTTCAAAAGAACTTATTAAACACCGTATTCTAACTAAGTCCTTCTTGAAAGTCTTTCGCCGCAGTCTTCCGAAGTGGCTTGATGTCAGTTTGCGTGGAAATTATTCTTCAACGTCATTGGTGGAGACCGATCTCAAAGCCTTCTACCTGACTGGAAAAGGTCTTCGTGAAGAAGCATTTATCGGGGGACAACCGTTGTCTGATGACACTTTGTTTTCATTACTATTGTCGCCGGACATTGACCTCATTGTTAACGGTGATCGTGTTTCCTTTGGATTGAATAACCGCAATGCTCCTTTTTCTTTGGCCATAGAACTCTGTGGCACACCTCCAAACAATGTCATATTGCAACCGTCGCCAGACAATTTCGATGTGATCAACCAACTCTCAGTAATGAAGCGATTACGTGATGTTGGTTGGAGTTTTAAGATATTCTCTCTGCAGGTTGAGAAATCCACGTCAAAAAATAGCTTGACTATGGTTGCGAAGTTTAGTAAGAATGTAGCCGTATCAAGTTTCGTAAATTCTCGTGTGGATTTTCGAGGAACTGTAGTACTTTACGTTGACAACTTGAACAAGGTGAGAGAAATATTTTTTTTTGTGCATGTACACTTGAAAATTTTATAGGTCAAACTATTATTTCAGGTGGTTGAAACGAATATTTATGGGTTATTTTTACCGTGAAAACTAATAAAAAAAGGTCAACCTATTTCACTGGATTTAAATATAGGCGAGTTCTCTTTTACCCGATGGACGTAAACTTATTGCAACAAAATTACATGGGAGAAATCATGGCGAGAAATACGATGAGATGTGTGATCTTCTGCGGTTAATGATCAGTTTCAGTTTATCATGCAGATCAGTGTTGCTCAATTCGGGACCAGTGAGCTCCACATATATCTGGAGTAAGAACTTTTAAGACTTCCTTGAGGCCAAAAAGTGAAGCCAAGGATGGCGGATATTGAGGCGCTATAGTACGTCAGTTTCAGCCCTCCTATGTGCGCGGTCAACTAAATTCGTATTTTTTAACTTTATATTTTCCTATTTTTGAGTAAAAAATGAGGGGAATTTCAATAAAAGGTGTAATACAAATGCTTTGTATTGAAATATTTTTATATTTCAATTAAAGTAACAAGGAAATAAGCGATATCTTACACGGAAAGCTAAGGAGTGACGGATTGTTGATGTTTTCGGCTTTTTGCAAATTACAACATTTACTCACAGAATATGCTTCCCAAAAAAACATAAATAAAACTTTTCTCAGTTTAATTTATCTATATAAGGCTTTCATTCATGTAAAAATTAATAGGAAAGAAAATTATGCTGAAAAACGTACGAGTTTGAAATAATATAAATATATGACTTTAAAAAGAGCCCTATACCAGGATAGCTGCCCAAAAAATAAAGGAAAACTAGTGTTAAAGCGTTTCAAAACCAAAAACGAAACAAGAAACACAAAACATAAGGTGAAAATATATGAAAATAGCTCAAAATTAAACAAATCTAAAATGCGTAATTGAATTTATGGCGAAAAATGCATATTCACTCACACGTACAGTCGGAAAATGCGGCACCCACATCGGATAGTTGCAGAGAAATAGATTCTCAGTAAAATGAATAAATTTTTTCCATTCTTGTGCTCTCAAAATGTTGAAAAACACGAAGATCTGAGGGTTTCGAGAACCGTCACTCCCGGTCAAAAACAATGAGAAATATTTGGCCGCGCGAGTTAGGAGACTGAAACTGACGTACTATAGCGCTTCAATTTCCGTCATCTTTGGCTTCACTTTTTGCACCCAAAGTTCTTACTCCAGATATATGTGGAGCTCACTGTTCGGGACGCACTACATGGCGGTTTGTTTACAGATGCAAACTCATACAGTCCGCGATTATAAACAAACACAAAAATTATAGTTGGCAATAATATTAAAAATGACCCACGTATCCATGCTGGTGACGCGAATTATTTCGAATACCTATAAAATATCGTTAAATATTTAATTAATGTTGAAGTTTTGCATTGTATCATAGCAACAGTGTTGTATCACGGCAACAGCTAAAACAAAATAATGGCCTTCTTTCAAAAATCACTCTGCTAAATTGATAAACTTTATATCGCGTTTTGGAACACATTTACATGTCCTTTTTAAGCTTCTAAAATGCGTTGTAAATAAAGCTAGAGCCTTACGAGCTCGTCTACAACGAGCAGAGACGTACGTATTACGAAATATTCTTTTTCGGAAACATACTTGGGCATTTAGAGCAATTATATATCATTTTGGGCAATTATATTTTATTCATTTAATATAATAAATTACTTTCGCAGATCATGGATCTCCCGTTAGAAGAAAAATGGGTCGTTGAGCTGTATGGTGACATAAAACTGACCACGGAATACAAAGTGCAAGGAAAGATTACAAGATTATCAATTAATATGCCGCAAGCCAGGAGCTATGCAACCTTCGGAGGTAGATATTTTTGACAACACATCTTATTTTTTATGCTTTGTTTTGATTTATCACTTGTACGTATACGTAGCGTAGGTATGTCATTTTATCGTATGATCAACCTCAGCTACACAGCCTATACACTCTGAAAATACGTACCGAGTACCGTATAAGATGAAAAAAACCCCGCATTCTCTAAGAGCATTTGTTCAAAGATTGTACAGCTCTTAGCAATGTCATGTATTTCTGCGAGGCTTAGTACATTATTCACACATACTGCAGATTAACGAAACCGAGTTATCAGACTGTTTGGTGTAAACCAACAAGTCCCGAAGAATATCTAAATTGAAGGAACTCACGCGAGATTTATTTATAGATACATTCTGTCTATATGCAGGTGTCCCAAATTTTATTATTATATACCACCTGTCAAAGTTTCGTGTTCGTAACTGTTCATTAGTCGAGAGCGAATCACGCGATAGTGACAAAATTTTCACCCGTGCGACCCCTGCAAAGGGAGATAATGCAATATTCGCATGGGAAATTCGAAACTTTTATTTTATTTCAATTTGAAATCAATGGTGTTTCCTGCAATCTGATTGGATAAGAATAGTGTGATTAATTCCGAAATCGCACTATTTTTGAGCATTAATCACATCATTAAGCCAATAAGATTAAAGGTCAATAAGCTTAAGCCAATAAGATTAAAGGTCTTCACCACAATAACCAATCAGATTTAGCATGTCAGTGACAGTGTAACCATCCAATCAAATTACAGGGGAAAATGCTATACAATCCTTTGCTGTTAAGTTCGTAGCAATATTGTTGTATCATATTTGATAGGACTTGTCAGAAAAATCTTGTAACAAGTCTGATAATGCCATCGCCCTCATTGGCCTTGCTACAAGTTGTTAACAGCTTGTTTCAAACTTGTTACAACAAATTGGAGCAAGCAGTGCGAATAAATCTTGTTGCAAACATGTGAACAGACTTGTAACAACTCTACCGGAGACTTGTTACAACTTGTGCGTTTTTACGCGTGTATTATTATTAATCACGTGCGGCGCACCTGAACATGCGACCTTTAGACTGTTTCTCCATTTGTCATTTCGTTTCATTTGTCCCCGAGCCGGCGCGAAGCGCCGTGCGAGGGTACTAATCCCACCCGGAGATTAGGAATTACACCCGGGTATTCTGACAGAACATAGGCGAATCCAAAGTTGCCCAAATGTCATGGACGTTCAATGGTCATGGTAGTTGTGCGCATGCGCGAAATTTGAACGAAGAAAGAACGGTCGTCTACGACTTGCTGATTGGCTAAGACAAAAAGAGAGCATGCATGAGAGCGTCAGCATTTTAACCGTCATTTTGCAAACTATTTTTTAAAAATATAAAATGAAATCATGGAGTCAAATATTATAACAATAATAAAAGATTTAAAGATCTTCACAGCACAGAAACAGTTGGTGAAATAGGAACGACTCGTAGTTTATAATCTTTGAAGTGGTAGGTGTCTAGTGGTAGGTTGTCATTTTGACAAGTACGAGCTTGGTATGTCGTTTTACAAGGGGCTAACCGACCGTTTAAGGCTTTACATCATCGCTTAAACTTTAAAAAGAGTTCTCAAAAGTGTACTTCAGAGTTTTGATAAAACACTGATGATAAAAACTGAGTTGATAAATCACTTTGCAGCTTATATAGTTGCTAAAATCATTGAACAAAATTAGTAATCGAAAAACAACATTCGACGTTTAGTGCTTGTATGGTTGTTATAATTATTTGTGCTGTTTTGATATTTTGAAGGTTTAGCTATAGAAAAGTTTAACACTCACTTAAACTGCAACGTAATGCAGCAGGCAAACAGGTGATTTCTGTTCACCTTTACGACTGTCTTTGTTTCCGAAAAATTTGCACGAGTTATTTCATAATATTAGCGTAGAAAGTTAGGTCTGGGTAGCGCACGAAATATTTTGCTTCGTTTAAAATGGCGAGGGGTTGCTGCATGCATGTATTTCTAGTTATAAGACTGTTCCAATGCGGATATGGCTATATATTTATGTAATCATATTCAATGATCATTCCAGGACGGAGTCAAGATAATTGTTCCCGGAAAATAAAGAAAAATCGTGACGGAATACTTTTTTCACAGGCCATAGAAGAAAATCCTTTCGCTCAAACAGAACTAAGCAATTTTGTTGAACTTGATCACACTAAGGACGTGTCGTGTTTCCTTAGTACAATCTTATATACGGAAAAGGAAAGTAACGGCTCGCGCTATCGAGAAACAAGTGATGGCATATTTATTAATTTTCATGGAAATCTTAAGTTCGCTGCCCTGCGGTTTGACAATTTGGATATAAAGTTGTCGATTAAAAATCCACGATGTTCCCCTGACAACGAAAAAAGTCACCGATTGGCTACTGCAGCTGAATTAAGTGGGAGTTATTTGGAAATGGATGGCAATCAAAGAGAACTTGGCATATTTGCAATTCAACCTGACTCAGTCGTGAGATTACAAATCGCGCAAGAGAAAACTACGGCTTCTCGGGGATCTTTTACGGCCATGGTTAATATCCTTGGTTTTCAAAACCATGTAAACGTTAATATCACTCAAGATGGACTTATATTTTATGCCAGTGGCAAGATTCACGGGCTGTTTGATGCGTCTGCCACATTTCAGTCGGACTTGACGGACTGGAAAGATCAACGGTATACAGCAGCGGGAGAGTTTGAAACAACCGGAAGAAGTGATGACATCAACAGTCTTTTAGAAAAAGAGTTTAAAAGATATAGTACAGATGTTTTGAGAAAACTACAAACCAGACTTGATCTTTCTTTGAAAACTAGAGAACGAGCAAAATCTCGTCTTAGAGATGTTAAGATCCTGCGGGAAAAGTCCGTAACGAAGATGAAAAAAATATTAAGAGAGCATGGAAGAGCAGATGACAATTTGGGGCTGGCCAAGAAACATTTAGATAACCTTCTACGATTAGCCGAGGACTATTCCAACGAAATTCAAGATTTAGACGAGCTGTGCAAGTTAAAACAGTGTCCCAAAATATGTCAGGAAGGAAGAATGTGTGAAACCTGTTGGGAATATGTAACCGCAAAAAAGACGGGGATGTGTCCTGCAACGTGTCATCAGACAGATCAGAAACGAATACCTCCATTAAGTCAGGTCTCAATTTGCGTGAACGAGCATTGCAAAAGGATTCATACAGTACATAGTCTTGTTGGAGATCTTTTAGGTCTTGGAATTGGAATTGGAGGATTGTTTGCAGGAATTCCCCCTTCAGTCTCTTTCGCTATCGGAAGAAAAGTTCAACAATTTGCAATTAGTGTCAAAAAAGGGGAACCGGACTTTATGAAAATCTTAGAAGCAGGCACCAAATTTTTACCTGTCTTTGGTGCATCAGAACTTGTAACTGATTTAGTTAAAGCGGGTACGAAAGTTCTGAAAGGCGATCGAAATATATTATCAATATTGGGAGACTCCGCTTTACTGAAAAACTATATATCAAATTCCATGCAGAAAATAAAATTTCTCAAAACAAGTGTAATATTTTCGGTTCAAAAGGATATAGTTTCTTTTAAAAACGGAGTAAGAGCACTTGTTGACAATCAGATGTCTGTTTTTCGCGATGATATCATAACACCTGTTTTAAATGAAGTAGAGCAACTAAGGAAACGAACCAAAGCAAGAGGACGGCTACTACCGCGAAGAAAAAGGGGAATACCGTTGCCTGGTCCAGTAAAAAACCTTTTGTCATCTTTTGAAAACCAAGTATTATCACTTTTGCGACAAACCATCTCACCTTTCAAAAAAATCATGCTTGGACTTGTCAACAAACAAGTATTCTCATTAAAAAAGGATATTTTAAATTTAAAACGACAGTTACTGTCCTTATCACACCTGAAAGGTGGTATTGTACGACAGGATATTTTAAATTTAAAAAAGCATATTTTAGATTTAAAACGACAGTTACCGTCCTTACCACAACTGAAAGGTGGTATCGAACGACAGGATATTTTAGATCTAAAAAAGCAAATTTTAAATTTAAAACGACAGTTACCGTCCTTGTCACACCTGAAAGGTGATTTCGAACGACACGATATTTTAGGTTTTAAAAAGGATATTTTAAATTTAAAACGACAGTTACCGTCCTTATCACACCTGAAAAGTTGCATCGAGCGACGGGATCTTTTAGATTTAAAGCGACAGTTACCGTCCCTCTCACATCTGAAAGGTGGCATCGAACAACAGGATATTGTTGATTTAAAAAAGGATATTTTAGATTTAAAACGACAGTTAACGTCCTTATCACACCTGAAAGGTTGTATTGAACGACAGGATATTTTAGATTTAAAAAAGGATATTTTAGATTTAAAACGACAGCTACCGTCCTTATCACACCTGAAAGATGGTATTGAACGACAGGATATTTTAGAGTTAAAAAGGGATATTTTAGATTTAAAACGACAGTTACCGTCCTTCTCACAACTGAGAAGTGGTATCAACCGACCGGATATTTTACAATTTAAAAAGGATATTTTAGGTTTAAAACGACTGTTACCGTCCTTATCACACGTTAGAGGTGATATCGAACGACGGATATCGTCCTTTAGAGCTCTCGAACGTCGGGTCCTAGGTCTGAGACAGGAGGCATACGATATTGTTAACGATCGTATATCCTCATTTGAAAATAACATACGTTCACAATTGGAAACGCAGCTATCGTCCTTGAAAGAAGATGCGATTTCATCATTTAAGGATATGCTCAAGGGCTTACCAGCAGGATTTGGTAAAGTAGCAAATGTTGCGGGAAAAGTGATCGGCGCCGTTACAGGTGCCATGTCATTAATAGGCAAAAGTCAGGGTCACTGGAAATGTGGATTCAGAAAAGAAAAGTGCACCAAGGAAAGGTTCGAGTACCAGTATATTGACCATCCATACACTTGCGATTTGCCTTGCGAGGAACGTGACGTCAAGGAAACCATACAAAAATTATGTTGCTCCACTGTTTCTTGTGCGTCGTTTGTTGTCAATGTGAGTTGCCTGACTGAAAAGACTCTTTGTAAAACGGCAAGAAGAAAAGCTCTGGAACAGATTTCAAAGTTCAAAGCAAATGCCGCCAAATTACTTGAAAATTTAGACAATGCAAGCCAAAATGTATCTTATTGGAAAATGAAGAGAGAAATTATGGACAACAAAGTCCGTTCATCTTCACAGTCTTTAAATGCATACCAGGATGCCGAGCGTAGCCTAGAGAAAGCCTTCAATGTCACGGTGGAAAATCAAAAACGAAAATGGAAAATTTTAGCTAAGCCTATGTTTTTAGGACATATTTTGAACGGAGAAGGCAAACCGCGATTTGAGATTAAAGGTATCAAGTTCAAAGTTAAAGTGTCCTCAAAGCACAATGCTACATTAATTCCGATAAATATCACAACAGCGTTAAATGGCACTCAACACAAACAAGTCTCGACTGTGCTGGATTTCACCAATCTAAACCGTTCTTTACGAAGCATTGCGAAAGAGATTCTTGTTGAGTATGTGGGAGATGTATCTCGTATTTCGCGATGGAAACGCTCAGCAGAAAGCAAAAATGTATCAACGGATGACTCAAAATTCTACACCTTACAAACTTTCCATCGATTATGTTCGGAGTTTCGTAAACACAAGCAAACTTTGTACGAAGCCGCGATGTCCCTTTATAATTTGTCTTCTGAGAATCAAGATCTTCTTAAAGAGGAGACACAAAGAAAAAAATCTTTAACTTCAAACAAAAGCACAATTTTTGAACAGTTCAGGATCAATAAAACTAAGGCGTTGGATATAGGCATCGTTGTTAATTACGATGCCTATTTAAATTTGCTTGCAAATGACCAAGAACTTTTGGAGGCAAAGCATTTTGAAGTCCAAGCTCTCAAGAACGAGTTTGATGTTGTCCATTTAAGTTCGAAATTGCTCTACAGAAACTGGCTAGCGACCATGGAAAGTATTTTTTTGAAATTCTCTGACGAGTGCAGTGGTTTTGACGACTGTCTGAAGTATACCATTGATAGCTTATTGGAAATTGTTTTCGAGGCAAACGTACTTAGGTCAGACAGTCTAACGGAAAAAATAAAATATATCGAGGAAATGTTCGTCAATTTAACAAGACAATCGGACGTATCAGTCAGTGATGCGGTAACTACATCATGGAACATTTTGCAATCCTTGGAAAACATAACTGGTGTAGAAAACGTGTGTGCACAAGCTCCAAATATCACAGAACATCCTAGGCCATTCATTGAGCTGGGTATTAATAACACACTTCTTTTAACGTGCAATGCAACTGGAGATTCCCTCGTTTACCAATGGAAGTTCAACGGTAAAATTTTGAACAATCAATCAAAAAGTATTTTACGAATAAACGATGTGAGTCCATTGCATTCTGGGAACTATTCTTGTGATGTTTCGAATCACGTGGCGATCGCATCTTCAATTCCTGCGGTAGTTGTTATTGGTACTCCACCGTTAATTGTTCGTCATCCTCCTCGTCGTCTCAATGCTATTCTATCCGAATATGCCACACTTTTTTGTGAAGTAAAAAAGGATACGAGCAACATCTCTTATCAATGGTGGTTCAATTCATTCGATTCTGGTCCTTTCGTGCCACTGACAAATGAAATATTTTCTCATCTTAGTCTTGCTCCAGTAAAATCTTATCAGGAAGGATGGTACTTTTGCAACGTTTCAAATCGATTTGGCAACTCTATTTCAAGAAAGAGTTTTGTCAAGGTGTTAAAGTACAGTCTTCCGGTGCCAGTTGCCAAGCTAACGTTGACAGTTATATCTCAGTCTCATGAAAAGAAACCAGTTTTTTATAAAAATGTACTGGCTAAAATCCTAGCTTCTCGTTTAGTAACCGCAGATAACGACACGCAATCGTCGGAGAAACTAATTAAGGAGCTCAATCCAGCTATTTGCAAACAAATTCCGCAAGATGTCACACAGAGGTTTGGCCGCACAGAGACATGTGATTGGACATTCAGCGTAATTGGGGAGAATGTGACCTCGAGCATATTCAATAGTCCACCATCGCAACAGATCAATGAAATGATCAGGTCAACTTCCAGGCTTAAAGAGGTTATTGGAGGGTTGGGAAACGACACCAATGGCGACAAAATTAAATTCTCGTCAGATAACTATAATTTTTCCGCACCAAAAAATTCTTTAGGGATTACAAAGATATCTTTTATGTGTCCTCAAGGCCAGGTTTTCATTGAAGATGTCTATAAATGCGGTATGGTATAGTAACAGCACATTATTTTCACTCGCATATAGAAATGACTTTCTGCTGCATGTTGGTTAAGGAAAAATTTTGTTCAAAGTTCAAAGTAATTGTGTGTTATTTCAATAATAAATATTTGTTCATAATTATTTATTAATTTTTAGCCCATTGTCCACCAGGATCTTATGGCACAATGGAAAATGGCATTGCAATATGCATTACCTGCCCGCGAGGGTTTTATCAATCAATTCCTGGTCAAATATCTTGCAGCAAGTGCCCTGGAGGTTTTCAAACTGCCAACAATGGTGCTTACGATCAAAAACAGTGTGAAGGTAGATTAAAAATCTAATTTTTACCAAAGCATTTTTGGACCAATTTGAACCACGTCTGAGGTCAGTGGTTATGTCTTGCACGGATCACATATGCGGAATTCTAAAGATCCTCAAAATCTATTTTTTGCCCTAAATAAACAGCCATAGGACCGATAATAACTTCCTAAACCACTGCAAAAGATCACATTTTCTTTTCCGCAATTATAGACGAAAATAAATTCTTCCTCGTATTTATACTGGTGAATAACTATCATGGTGATGTACTTGTCACGGCAAACGTATCGGGCAAGTTTGCAAAGTTTAATTTAAAACCAACGAATAGAGTTGTGAAAAGTAAGAAATGGAAAACAGAAAGGTCGTTGATTTTAAGTGCAGTCGATGCTAGTACAAACCAAACGGTCGACATCAATGGGCAATCAATTATTTGTCTGCAATCTACATCTAAGGAACGCGTATCACTGAGAGTTCTGACTATCCAAGGTGAGCAGTGCAGTGCTGCTTTGAGTGTGTGATGTTTTGTGATATGTTATGAGAAATTTTATATACAGCCCCGAGCTAATGCAGCTTGCACTAATCCTCTTTCAGCGAAAACAAGTCCTGTTGTGCCGTCGACAAATGAACTTGAAAATTTCAATGACCCTCTCAACGTAATGGAAGGTAAGAAAACAAGATGATCAATTAAATATTTTCACTTTCACCGGCTACATACTATACGTGATATCAACTTACCGATGAGCGCGTTAATAATGATACATAAATGCAGCTTAAGAGCTTTGAATCAAGTTTGAGTTGAGTTGAAGGATGTTGTCGTTTAATTTTTATAACATTCGTAGTGGACGGGTATTTAAAAAAAAGGCTTTATTTTGATGGGATTGTTTTTATGTTTGCTTTACCATAAATATACGAATATTCGCCATTCATGCAATTGTAAGCTTCTAGCTATGACCCTGCTTTGAACGTTCGTTTATTCAATCAAACATATCAATGACAATTCGAAGTCACCGCAAATTACTTTCCCACCTTTGCAGACGAAGGTAAATTTCATTTTCTATTCCTGGTGGTAAATAATTATCATGGTACTGTACTTGTTACGACAAATATGTCCAGTGGGCTGGAAAATTTTTATCTCAACGCAACAAATACAGTGGTAATAAGTAGGAAAAGCAAGGAAGAAGTACCAATGATCGTAAGTGCGGTCGATGCTAGAACAAGTCTAACTGTCGAGATTAATGGACGATCAATTGTTCGACTTCAACCAATGACGAAACATTCTTCATTGAATGTTCTCATTATTAAAGGTAAGCATGTAGTAAAAGGCAAATAAATTTAAAAACATTAATAATCTGAAAAAAATCCAGGAAGTTGCCGAAGCCAAATTAATATTCAAAAGTATAAGTTTAAATTATTCAAGCTATATATGTCACGATATTCCACATGTAACATTATAATTTCAGAATCACTTTAAACGGTTACAGAAGAACAGTTTTGCCAGTTTTTTTCCAAATTCTAACAAAATTTGGGTAACTTTTTCTAAAATCAGTCATAAGTTGGGCAATTTTTAGTTCCGTTAGCAATTTCTTTGCAATTTTATTTTTTCTATTAAACTATAACTGTTTATGTCGTTTTATCGAAACAACTTTCTGAAAAAAAAAATCGTTTTAGCCCAAGTGACTCCTGCTCTACCTTTGACAACCGAAGACGAAAATTTTGATGACCCTATCATTGTAAATGAAGAAATAGCACGAGATGGTAAATGAAATATTTCTTATAAGCATACTAACCCCTTTCGTTATCCAAAAGCAAAATTTTATATAAATTATTATTTATATATATGTTTGATTTTCAACACTGTGTCTGTATTTTTTGTTGTATTGTTTTATACCGGTGTTTTCGCATGTCCTATCTATATCGTACATGTGACAACAAAAAATGTCTGACCGTCTGGCCAACAATAACCCTTTTTCTCAGAGAAAGTTATACCAATTATTATTAATTTGATTAAGGCTTAAATTACTAAAAAATAGAAGAAAAGAAAAAGGTCAATGCTTCAAACACTCTGTCAAATTTCGTGTTTTGTTGGAGAATATGATGTCATGATGCACATGTAGGTACATAGCTACGATTAAAATGTTCCAACCTAAAATGAACTTTTTCTCCTTAATTTCCATTTGTAGGTCAGGGTACCAAGACCAGCAGTGAATGAATATACAGGCCAACAAAACTACATTTATCTCAACTGTATGGCTTTTTTCTATGTGTTTAATCAAGAGAGATCATTCTATATATCCAAATAATGATTCGTTAATTTCGTTTGTTTTTCTAGTTAAATATGATAAACATGTGAATGATTGGGGTGTTTGTGCGGGACAATCTCTTTTATGTGTCTAAGTAGCTATATTTTATGGTGCATGGTGATTTAAAAATTTGCATAAAATTTGCATTTCGTCATGGAATTAATGTATTGAAAATCTTTAATTAATTTTTCATAAAGTGCTGTTTTTATTTGGTGGTTATACATAATATTGAGTATATATATAGAAACTCGGAACGTTCTTCGTTATAAGCTACGTAGCTAAGACGGATGATGATTTGAAAAATTAGCGAGAAGCCTCTGTTTCAATTTCTAAAAAGTTTAGTATTTGCACCCCTTTGGCGGTATATTTTTATTTTGTGCAGTAGATGCTATATGCATGCCCTCGCCTAAAACAATTAACATATATATTTCCAACAGTTAATGGTTATAGTACTCGTTCCTGCTGGATGGTCGACTTCCTAGTGTGTCCTTGTTAATAGAAATCCTATTCATTTTATTTTTAAATGGTTTAAGGTTATCAAAGTTTTCACCTTGATTATAGTATGTGCATGATCTACTCCTCGCCCCGATTTGCTGCATGTTAGCGAATGAATAAAATTGAATTAAATTTAGTCATGCATACAATTTTGTTGCAACGGAAGATTATGGAGGGGAAGCAAGGTAGGAATTTGAATTAAACCAATCAGCCAATTGGTTTACATTTTTAGTAACCCAATCAGAATGGCCAAATTTTGGCTACTTCCGGTAAAATTCTACATCTGTACCATTTTACATGAAGTATTAAATATTTCGGCATTCTGATTGGCTTTACCTGAAAATTAAACAAATTATTGTGTCCATTAGTTCACGAAATTCCCACTTGTTGGAGGGGCAAATATAATATATATTGAGTCAAATTTCACGTATTATGCTGTTATATTATATACTTACAAACTAATTTACTTATTGATGTCACCATGCATGCACGCAAACTTACAAGAATATTATGATAAACATTTAACTTAGCTACAGCCTTCATTCGAACTGGGATTTTTTATTTGAAAACATTCGCGCATTCTCACACTCGCCTATAGCTCCAAAATTCATGGTCAATTATTCATTTATTTAGAAATTTATTGTTTTATTATTAGCATAGCGGGGCAAGTCGTCGGCTGGATATGCTACTTTTCACCGTCCTATCATAGCTATATATATATTTCTTGCAGTATAACTAGTGTTTTTAAACAAAGGAAACAAGCATATGAAAATAATGAAATGTGCACGTAGCAAGATTGAGGGGTATGTAATTATATGTAATGAAACATTGGTTTAACAGTGTATAAGCAGAAGCAGTAACAAAATAATCACCTGTATGACTACTCTTTGAAGTGCAAGTGCTACATGATGGTACTAGTACTACCGTTGGAGATTCACTTGACGCTAGCATTGAAAATTATATTGTAATAATTTGGTAAACTTTCTTTAATTCAGTATAGCAATCCAGGTTTCTTTTAACATATTGTCCGTATGGAGGGCAAGGCCCCTATCTCCTATGTTGCCCCTTCCTCCCGGTAAGAACTTTGGCCCGCCAGGAAAAAAACCCTGTTTAAAAAAACATTGGTATGTATGTATGTATGTATGTAACCTTTATTTAAAAAAAACAACTTGATCGACGCTAGCCTCATCAACATTTGCTGGTTTCCATGAGGGGCGTCGATATACATGCAAAAGGAAAGTAAAAAATAACTATTTACAGACGAAACATGAAAGAAGAGAGAAGGTACAAAGTTAGTAGAAAATATGTACATTAAATTTTTACTTATTATATTGGTGTGACCCTATTTAATTGATAATTCGTTTGAAAACGTATTCTGATTCTGCTAATTTTGCTTCCAGAGAAAGGCTATTCCAAAGTTTCGCGCCACTATATTTGAAACTTTTTTTAAGGAAATCCCTTTTCGGAAGAGGAAGAGCTAGATCAGTTAATGTATTTCTTAGATTATAATTACCTTGCAATGTGCTAATCCTTGTGAATGAATTTTTCAGGTTCGGCGGGCTCAAATTATTTAATATTCTGTACATTAATATAGATTGATTACGTATACGTCTTTCCTCTAAAGTTAACCACCCAAGAGATGCGAGAACGTCAGCCGAATTGACTTCATAGTTTGCCCCGGCAATTATCCTAGCCGCGCGATTTTGACACTTTTGAAGCTTGTCTTTTAAAGCTCCACAGCAGTTTCCCCATAAGGGAGAGCAGTAATCAAAATATGGCTGTATCAGAGCGTTATAAACCAGTTGAATAGTATGAGAGGGAATAAAGGGCTTGATTCTTTTCATAACCGCTATACCAGCCCCTACTTTTTTACAAATTTTTTCAATGTGCTTATCCCAACTCATCTTTTCGTCAAGGAATACCCCCAGGCATTCCAAAGAGCTTGTCTGGGAAATCCGTTTGTCATTTAACATTACTGGATAGTTACAGACCTTATTAAGGTTGTGCGTCGATCCAATAATCATTAATTTTGTCTTTGTTGGATGGTGTTGTAATTTGTTACTAACGAGCCATTCGCTGATTTTATTGAGATCGTAATTTAATTTGTCAATAAGTTCCCTGTAATCATGAGAGGAAGCAAATATCTGGGTATCATCAGCATAAAGACTGGGAGTTGTCTTGCAAAGACTCTCAGGTAAGTCATTTATATAGAGTAAGAAGAGCAGTGGCCCGAGGATAGATCCCTGCGGGACACCGGTTATAATTTTTTTAGGAGTAAAAAAGTTCAATATTTGTAAACCCAAATTGTGTTCTCATTTTTTGTAATAATATCTTATGATCTAGGGAATCAAATGCTTTACGAATATCTAAGAAAACAACTCCAGTCAGTTTGCCATTGTCCATGTTTTGATACCATTCATCACACATTTGTAACAAGGCAGTTAAAGTTGAGTGCATCGGGCGGAAACCAGACTGATATTTTGATAACAATGAGTTGTCATTGAGAAAGATTGCTTTAGTTCACGATAAAGAAATAAAGATTGCTTTAGTTCACAATAATGTATTAGGAAGTTTGTATTCTGTAAGCAAACTAGCTGAATGTAATTTCACTAATATCATCCGTCGAGCGCAAAACATATTATTTTTAACGACGACGGACCTTTTTTTTCCGCATGCAGTCGTCTGCCGTTTCTGTCGGTGGACCGCATACGAACCGCGACCGAACCTCACCGCGCTGTTAGGTCGTTTCTTGACAGCATTGTATTTTGAAATTTGACCTTTGTTTGCCCAAAGCCGTTTTTGCGGTGAGAGTCATCATACAGTGATTAGACTATTATTGATGCATTGTTTCTAAAATTTTATCACATGCCTACTCCACCTATCATATAGTGTCATCCTGCGCAAATATTCCTTGCATGAAAACCTTGCATGGTCATTAGTTAGCCGTTTTGAAACTACAGACGAAAGTCTGGATGGTACTGCGTCGTGGTACTGCGTCGGCAACTGAGAAATTCAAGGCAAGCATCGCGCTTACCCTACGAAAAAGTTGAGATTAGGCTCGGTATTGTGTTAACACCACCATAAAAATAGCCCCAGTATATTAACGCTGGTTCTGAAATTGTCCTGCATTTCGAAGTTATGTTATCGTTTATAGTTTACAATTCCAATCAAATTAAGGTGACGCATAGATACAAACATGACAACATTAAATTAGGTTTTTTGTTGCGTGGAAAAAAGTAACGAGTAGATTGTTCAAATTATTATAATGATAATTATAAAATATAACTAACATATATATTTTCATGTAAGTGTGATTGATATTTTAAAATATATATCGCATATATATATATATATATATATATATATATATATATATATATATATATATATATATATATATATATATATATATACCCGTTTGCAAAAACGTTGGCCGCAGATTGATACATAGATAGATACCCGAAATCTAATTAGAATTGCATATGTTGTGTAATATGATTGAAATCCCATGCAAATATATTTATATGCAATTCTAATCTATGTAATAATCTATCTATCTATCTATCTGCGGTCAACGTTTTTGCAAATGGGTGTATATATATATATATATATATATATATATATATATAAATATATATATATATATATATATATAAATATATATATAATATATATATATATATATATATATATATATATATATATATATATATATGTAAGGTTAAGAATTAAGGTTAAGGTTAAGGTTAAGATTCGCCTGATCATCGTTTCAGAAGAAACGTGAAACACAGAGTGTAGCGAACAATATATTCAAAATTTTGTAATATTTCATTGATTTTATTTTTATTTTTATATATATAATATATATTATATATAATTTATATATATATATATAATATATATATATAATTATATATAATATATATATATATATATATATACACCCGTTTGCAAAAACGTTGGCCGCAGATAGATATATAGATAGATACCCGAAATCTAATTAGAATTGCATATGTTGTGTAATATAATTGAAATCCCATGCAAATGTAATCATATGCAATTCTAATTAGACTTCGAGTATCTATCTATCTATCTATTTGCGGCCAACGTTTTTGCAAATGGGTGTATATATATATATATATATATATATATATATATATATATATATATATATATATATATATATATATATATAAATCAACAAAATATAATCATAAAATTGTATTTCATCGCTACACTGTGTTTCACGTACTAGTTTTAGTACGATCCTCAGGCGATAACTATTTACAACGGTTTACGCACACGCGTTTTTGATTGATTACGCGAGAGTTTTAACGTGCATGTTTGCGTGCGCTTAACATTACAAACCTTAAAACCATATCTATGCCGGCATTTACTAAACAGTTCTGTCCTTTTGTTCAACGATTTGTTTTTGTCTGATAGCATGATTAATCTTTTTTCCTCGGTGCATAAATTGCAAACTTTCATTTCTGGACATGCGGCGGGAACTTGCTTCCCAAATCGATCAACAAACGTATATCCTCACTTTCGTCGAACAAAACCAGTTTTGATTTAGCTGCCCCGCTTTACGAAGATGCTCTAAAACACAGTCATTTCAACACCACCTTAAGTTACCAACAAGATGAAAACAACTACAACCCCAAGCGAAGAACGCGATCAAGAAACATAATCTGGTATAATCCGCCTTATAGTAAGAATGTGAAAACGAATGTAGCACAAAGGTTCCTTCGCTTAATTGATAAGCATTTCCCAAAGTCATCGCCTCTCCATAAAATTTTCAACCGGAACACGGTCAAAGTGAGTTACTCTTGTATGAACAATGTTAAAACCTCAATTTCCAACCACAATCATAGAGTCCTTAAACATCAAAACAACTCCCAATGTTCTTTGAAATCATGCAACTGCAGAGTTAAGGAGGAATGCCCAATGAACGGTAATTGTCTCGTGAAAAGTATTGTGTACAAAGCGGAAGTTAGCTCGGATAATGGAGAAGTTGTCAAGCATTATATTGGTATGACATCAGGTAGCTTCAAACTCAGATACAGCAACCACTTAAAGTCTTTTAACCACGAACGCTACTCTGGAGAAACGGAGCTCTCAAAGTATGTTTGGGGGCTCAAGTCGCAAGATAAACCATTTGGGATAAAATGGTCAGTGATGAAGCAAGTTCCCGCCGCATGTCCAGAAATGAAAGTTTGCAATTTATGCACCGAGGAAAAAAGATTAATCATGCTATCAGACAAAAACAAATCGTTGAACAAAAGGACAGAACTGTTTAGTAAATGCCGGCATAGATATGGTTTTAAGGTTTGTAATGTTAAGCGCACGCAAACATGCACGTTAAAACTCTCGCGTAATCAATCAAAAACGCGTGTGCGTAAACCGTTGTAAATAGTTATCGCCTGAGGATCGTACTAAAACTAGTACGTGAAACACAGTGTAGCGATGAAATACAATTTTATGATTATATTTTGTTGATTTGTTTTTGCTCTACTATTTACTTGTATTGAGCACTCTGGTTTACTACGCACAAATCCAAGATTATTATATTATATATATATATATATATATATATATATATATATATATATATATATATATATATATATATATATATATATACACACATTATTTTCAAACATTTGTTTGCGGTATCTTAGACATATATATATATATATATATATATATATATATATATATATATATATATATATATATATATATATATACACACAAATTATTTTCAAACATTTGTTTGCGGTATCTTAGACAAAGACAATAAGTTCCTGTTAATATCTCCTTTCTCTTGAACAGGATGTGCGACATTTTTTAAGCTCACCTTGCCGGTGCATGGGGAGTAGATAATACACGGGCGCGAACTTGCGGGTGGGGACTGGCGGATGGAGAACGGCGGACGCAGATAGATAAACAACCCAAACGAAAAACTAATTAATTAAGTAATCATTAATATGGTAATATTATTACTTATCAAATTTGATTATTATATTATTAATTATTACATTCTAATTTATTAAAACTTATGATCTAACTTATCTTTTTTTTCAATAATTAAATCCACTATTTCCTAATTATCTTATGTGCTCTGCATGTTATAGGCAAGTTGCTGTGGTATTTGCACATGAGAGGGTAAAAAATTTGGCTTTTATTCAGGCACCCATTGCGTAAGTGATAGTGAACATTCCCGCGGGATCGCGTTTCCTTTAACTGTTGGGTTCCATCATAATTAGGGCCTATTCGCATAAGACACAATCACTAAATCCCAAGGTGCCGTAATGCTCCCTCTAGCCATTGATCACATCCAAGGAATTTCCGCCGGTTTGCATCCGCCAGTCCGCGCCCGCCTTTTATCTATACTCAGAACACAAGCCAGGGTGGAGATTAATTTCCATGTGAAGTATATGAAACCAAAAACAACAAAGCTGTGGAATATCGATATTGCGCTATTGCGTGTTATTTGTTCACACGATGACATGATTCAGCCTAATGAACTAGTGTAGTGGTTTTTTGTCTTCTTTTTGAGGCCTACACAATGAATGGTAAGTCCTCCTCTGCAAATATTTTGAATGTTCACATTGCCTCATAAAGCATGCGTATTAATAATTCTATTTATAGTAATATTAACTATATAAACGAGCGTGAATTGTTATCAATAAGCATGCAGTTACTGTTTGTAGATTGTTAAAATTAAGTCAGGCTACGAGCTAGGTGCGGCTTGATTTCCGAAGTCATATATAGGTCATTTCCGTTTAAACTATACATTCTTCAAGCGGAACCACCAAACTCCCTAAATATTTGTCAGGCGAAGCCGCGAAGGCATACAAAGATTTAGTTTCAATCTTCTTTTCTTAAAATTTTAGCATTTTTATCTTTGAGAAATATTTGGTTCACAAAACTTTTGTACATTTTCATTTGTTTTTTTGTAATATTTTTTATGGAATAATGTTGTTCGAGAATCGAAAATTTATTTGTGATAATTTATTTGGGGATTCTCGTTGTTAGAATATGAAATTTTGCTAGTGAATTTCGTATATATGTTTATATTATTACAAGAGTTTCCATTCTTCTCAATAACTATATGTTATGCTTCGCAATCACTGACGTCACTGAATACACCACGTAACTGGACTAACTTTTACTATTTCAAAAATATTTATTGTGATTCCTATATGCATGTTTATGTCGCTGCTTTCAGAGAACCTGCATTACCAAACAAGTTTGAAAGTGCAAAGCTTTCAAGCAAAACCGTTTCGTACCACAAAACGTAATTTGGTTATGGTGCGATGCACCGGAAGCCTACAATATTACCGTGTGTAGCCTATTTCCTAAAACTTTCATTATTTCTACAGGAAGATTGATAGGTAGATATAAAATATGAATATAAGCTTGGTCTCTTATTGCACAATCTTTGCTGAAGTCACAACGCTCAATCACAATTATAATATAATAATTATAATAAACGTAATCTGACACCAACTCCAACAACATTCATGTTTCAGCTCGCATGTTATACACTGATAGATTTAAAGTGCTTATAAACCCAAAATGGGTTTTTGGTGATTCAGATAGAGCATAAAAAGTTGGTTAGTAACTTCTAGATTAGTTTTTGCGTTAAAATTTTAATTTCGGAGATATTGGGCGGCAAAGTCAATTTTTTTAAAAAAAAGTAGCGCGCAATGGGGGACTGGGAACCAGGAACACGTCCATTTACTTTACTATGAAACATAATACAGTTCTAGTAAACAAATTGGAAATATCTGGCCATTTTTAAATAAAAGTTCTTGAAATGTCGAGCTCTAGTTCATTTTCGAGTGTGAATAGCAATACTGCTACCATTATGCCATATGAAATGGAAGACGAGCGTAAAGAAAGCGAGAAATGCGACGCAGAATTCGATCCTGATATTCCGGAGGACAGCCAAATGGATGACAACACAGACCCCGAGGCCTACTTTGACGAACCTATCGCGGATAATGTTTGGCTAGAAAATTATAACAGAGCGCGGGAAGAAAATAACCAAACAATGGCAGAACTAGAACTCCGCTGGAATGGAAGAAAAACTTTAACTTCCTGGTAATTTGCGTATTATGTCATTGTGATTTATCGCAATATTCCAGTAGCACGTGGTATAAAAATTGTATTAAAATTTGCTTTGTCTTTGTTCAACTGAAGTTGTATATTTTTTCGTTAGGTGCAGTTGTGGTAACTGTAGCATTGAAATGCTGCAAAATGCTAAAGAGTGTCGTTGTTGCCACGAAATCGAGGGTTGCGCAAAATTTATTGATGACTTTTCTGAGGAGTCAAGTGAGGAACAGAAATTGACTTGTATAGTTAATCATCCTGGTTTTCCAGCTGTTTGCTTAAACAGATGGTCGTTGGAGCTTGCTGCTGACAATTTCAAAACCCGTCAGGGTCATAGATATAAGCAAAGTGGCTCAAAACAAAGGTATGTTTATTCAATAATAACAGACACAACGTGGCCTTTGTCATCATTGTCGTGTTTATAATATTATTATCATCTTAATGCAGCCTGTGAAGGGGCATCTGAAACTGAAAGAATTGAGTTATACCAAACACACCCTGGGGTAGTTGCATAAACTTGGATGCCCCTGGGAAGAATTGAAAAAGCTGGTTTATGATAATTGCAGTAAAACTGTATTATTACATAGATTGTTAAATTCTGACAGGCTTACTCTTAGTTGCCCTGTTGTGACTGCCATTTGCTATTGCACAATGCATTACTGTTCATCAGGCTCAAATAAAAGGAATGATCGAATTTGGTTTGTAATCCCTTAGATTTCTGAGAGTTGTTGCCTATCGACAATTTACTCGCATGGTGCATGGCCGATTAAGGGACAAAAGAATTCCATTGCCTTCTTGTGCATACAATGCTATACGTTTAACACATAAACCCATGGATGGTGCATTCACTGGCTATGAAGAACTGGAGACAGATGAAGAAAGCGAATAATATTGCTTTGGTTCAAATGTAAATTGTGTAAAAATGTATGAACAAATGCAAATAAAAATATTGTTAATCTTTTTATTTTTTGGACAGTCAACAACATTTTTGTGACCTTTCATTGGCTGCTTGCACAGCCTACATTTTGGTGCATTTCTTTGTTTTAAAGCATGACTTTGGGTTCCAACTTCAACAGTGGGAACTAAAAAGAGGAGTGGGATAAAATTTAGAATGCATGGTAAACCATCATTGTACCTATATTGTTATCTGATCTTAAGTGTAAATGCATCAACAACTTCTAAAATACCTGGGTTTGTTGGAGGAACATCAGAAAGTTGCATTGCATCCCTTGTTTTCTTTTTTTGTATTGCTTCTTCTCTTGACTGCTTACTTAGCATGGTATTCATGGGTGGTGGTGTTTTTTCGTTTAGGTCATCTATTGCATCTTCCAGTTTTTTATTCGCAATAGCCTCTAACATGGTTTGATATATTTTATCCACATAATCTATAATATATATATATATATATATTAAAGTGCCTTCTACATGAATCCTTGGTTTGTAATTATCCAATCAACCTACCAAAGTTTTGCTTTACTGGAACTTTTCTGACAACTGCTTCCCCATTCATGAACTTGGGATAAACAACATTGTATTGTTCAACACCATTTTTCAATCTTGCTTCCCGAGACAGATTCTGATTAAAGTGCATGACTGCTAATGCATGTCTGCAAAAAATGACACTGCTTTATAAGTGATACTTTTAGCACTCATGTGGCAAAGGGTGGCCTCCTGGAAATTTATTTTCCCATCATTTAGGTAAATGTCACATCTTGTTTCAAACTCTTATTTTGGTGATATCAATAAATTGCTAGAACAAAAAGTAAGCATTTAAACTGTACATCATTACACTATCTTTTGAATGCATACAGTAATTACCTGCAAAACATTCCTCTGTAGGTATAGCCTATCATCTTGGGAGAGAATTGGTTCAGCACAGAATGGAATCCTTCTAGGCAACTTGTTTGGTCCATTGGAGATGCATGCTTTATTCCTTTTATCAGCCTTTTGTTAGTAAGAGATGACTGCATTTTCTCATAGGCAACTGAATCTAAGAATATGTCACAACATAAACAGATTGTACATAAATACTACCATAATATTGACACACATGCATATCACCATATTATGATGATAAAAATAGTATTGCATGCACTTCAACAAACCTTTATCTAACCATTTCCGTGGCTCAATTGTCTCTTTATGCCCACATTTGTTGAACAACGGATTCTCAAGATTTTTGTGCTCATTAACCACATGACTTAAAAATGATGAGAACTTAGCCCAAATAACTTCACCATTCCCATCATGTGTAGTTCTTGCACTCCAGTATAAATGGTTAGTACAAGGCTTTATCCATTCAGCAACTGCTTCACACCCACTCACTTTTGCAACTTTTGTGAGTACTTTTGTGACCTCTGATAAATAAAGAAACACAAAAAAAATCACTTTAAAAGGGTTTAGTGAGTGACTCACTTGGTTGTCTTAGGTTCTCACAGTTTGTGATAGCAAAAAATGTGTACAGCAGATTGTAGTCAATATAAACATCATACTTTTCTTAAGATGCCAAATGTCAAAGTAATGAGTGATGTTTGACAACTTCTCTCTCATATGCTTGGCTATTGTTGAGTGTCTATCAGATATGAATGTCTTCACCACAAGACTTAAACCAAGTATATATTCCATGCAACGACAAAACCCAGCATATTCCATTGCTGGACTACTGCCAACTTCATTTCTCTAGGAGAATAAAAATACACAGGTCATAAAGGTAGACACAATCTAATGTTATCCCAGTTGATTAAAAGTGGAGGTGTAAACATACCTGTACAATCGCAAAATGGATTATAAAAGGTACAGTGCAGCAGAATACAGTGTATGCACAGTACTTTGCACTGTGACCCATACTGTCATGTCGGCCATCACCAGCGATTACTATTTCCCCATATCCTTTTACTTTATCCACCAATGCAGCCTGGTACTTTTTCCAGTGAAGATATATTGATGGAAACAATATTTCCTACAAAATATAAGACATATACTGTATTATGTAACATACAAACTAAACCTGGCAGTACAATATGCATGCATGTTCTATGTTTTATAACATTGCAACATACTTTAAATACTTACACGTTGATGTTTGAAGAAAGTTGTTACAGAAAAACAGGTCATGCCCATGTGCTTCAGCACCCTAAAAACTTTAGTTGCTGATGTTCCTGCGACAAGGATTCCAAAACTAAGCAACAAATTGCCAGCTGCAATTCTTGTCCCAGGAAAATAAGGTTGACTTAGCCATGTTGTTTGTTTTCCACAATCAGGGTTGACACATGTTGTTTTAACCTCAGCCATTGTCCCATGAGAGTTAACCTCAACCAATGTCTTGTCACTTTTGCACACACGGCAGATTTGAAAGAGCGTCAATAATTGGGTAAGGAATACAATGAACTTTGGCTCCCTTTGTAAACCGTATTCCTTCACAGGAACCCTAAAAAAGTTGATTAATTAACATTACTGCTGATGGACAAGCAACTATTACTAAAATGAGTCATTGGGTCAATAATAAATACAAAGCAAGGAGGCCCATCACAAAATGTTGTTAATGAAAATGAATGGTTCAATCTGGCACAGCAAATAATAAGCAAACTAAGGAAACTCTTGGAACTAGTGTAAATTAGTTTGGAGAAAAGTGTGTATGTATTGGGGCCAGATTGTCAAAACTAAAATGGTGGCAGTAAAAAAGTTCGGATTACAACAAGACTTGTTAATTTACACATGAGTGCAGATTTCCTGTCAAATAATGATTTGCAAAAATTAGAGAACAGTTGACCTGCATTTTCTTACCTATGTGAAGGCACATTAATGTCTTCATCAGTATCAGTATCTGCTGTATCTGTCTCTGTCTCAATTTCTGCATCTTCATACATATCATCAGAAGGCCCCTCTGTCTCATCTTCAGATTTGTGATCTTCCTCATCATTGCTCTCAACTTCCTCATCATCATCACTACTTACACCTATTGTAAATTATTACAGAAACATATAAGTGTGGTATACTTACAAAAGGCATTATTGTATCACCGACACTCTATGCCATTTACAGTACATTATATATGCTTTACGTTATTCTTGTTTCCTTGTGACACAACTATAAGGATGTATATTGCAACAACACCTTATGTAATATAAATGTTTACCTGTTGCACCCCTAAGAATATCCAATTCTTTTCTCACACCTGCCAGCTTTTGTTTTGATGTTTCCCAACAGTTACGGATTCGCTTGTTTTCCTTCTTTAACAAATCACAATTTCTGCACTTGTGTGGTGACTGTGGTGATGCCCCAATCTAGTACAGCAAAGGTTAATTAACACACTCTTGTGTTTGCTTTATACATGTGTGCCTGAACACCACCATAACCTATATATATATATATATATAGCTAGAAGCCTTACCATTGATTCGTGTTCCATAACATCCGTCGGGAAGACAACACTTTCCGTCGTAGCTTTCAATTCATCAGTTACGCCAGAAATTTTTGACGAAGTTGTTGGCGATTCTGTTATAGTCTCGAATTTGTCGAATGCAAAACATTTTTAAGTGTTTAAAAATATTCAAATTGTGCGCATTTATTAAATATATGCACGAATATAAAGAGCGCATTGGCACAGTTATGATTTAATATCCCTTAGCTTACCTCTCTTCGCTTCATGCGTTTTGTGCGTTCACTTTCTGTGCTGCCCAAAATTTGATTTGCTTGCAATGTAGGGTACACAGAAACTCCCAACTCATCCCTTTTTAGTCTAGGGGTCTTATACTTTGAAACTGTAGCAGAACCGTACTCGAAACAGTCGTTCGTGAAGTGCTTTGAGCAAACAACTGATGAGGGTGTTGGCGTCCATTTGTCTCTTCTGCGTCGAATGAAGTTCACCCATATTCGCCTTCGTTTCGCTGCTACGGTCGCGTTTTCGTTCCAAAAAGGTATCTGGTATAGAAAAATACCATTCTCCGCGTCTGCCGTGTTAGAACACCCAAAAACAACGCAACGTTCGGGCATTTTAAGCAGAAAACTCTCAAGATATACAGTCTCGCAATACAAAAGTGTGATTGCTGTAGAAGATGAGTTCCTGGGATCCAGGCTCTTTGGTGATATTTGCGTCGCGCTACTTTTTTTTGAAAAATGGTCAAATTTTGCTGTTTGAGCCATCGTAACTCCGAAATTAAAATTTTAACGCAAAAACTAATCTAGAAGTTACTAACCAACTTTTTATGCTCTATCTGAATCACCAAAAACCCATTTTGGGTTTATAAGCACTTTAATCAACAACATAAGTAGCTACCAATACCAATACAAAAACACAGGATACTTAATTAAAAACGGCCGACTTTGAAGATATTATTCAAATGAACCTATATGTGATCACCATCACCTCTCACCAGGGGTATATTGTCTGTCAGCGACAGCTATATTGCGCACTGAATATATAGAAATTTGATCCCACAAAAGCATGAATGTTGATGCTTTCATATAAACATCTCAATATGGTGCCCTTAATCGAATGAAACCTGTTATATATATATTTACCACTGGATTTTTCCAACAAAATTTACAAAGAAAATTCTCAGCTACGTTTAAACTACCATGAATATTATATACATCGTCATCGGACTAGAAATACATGCATGCAGCAACCAGTGGCAGCAACCCCTCGCTGTTTCAAACCAAGTACAAAATTCTCTAAGCTAACCTGACCTAAATGACCTATAGGTAAACTTATAATATTATTATGAAATGACTCAAAAGTCTTATTATATTTTATCGAGTATATTAGAGCTAATGTTTCCATCATTCGGTACAAAAATAATAAAGCTAGTGTATAAACATTGTCATTTGCCGTTCAATTTTTGCTGCATTACGTCATGGCAGCAATTAAGTAATGGCTTAAAATTGAAGCTTCGAAACTGTAGAAAGACAGTACACATCTTTCAGAGACAAAGAAAAGCCTCAAATGTTATTTTATTCTGTGATTGTAGTCGACCCTAAACGTTTTATAGTGTATAGTGATTTTTGTCATATCAAAATTCAGGATCAAAGTATACTTTTAAAAACACTTTTTGAATTAAAGCAAAGGTGTAATAGCCTTTCACAGTTGGTTTATGCCTTTGCAGAACGGCATATACAAAGCTGAAAATTATAGAAATAAACTGCATCCTTACTGCGAAGCAAATTCAGAATAAAAAGAGTAAACAGTACCGTTTTAAAACACTTATAAGCTTGCAGATTGTGAATTATTTTTCGTAAACGCTTTGCCTCCACTGTATCTATGTTCGTCTTCGTTATCTGCATGCCATCCTTTATCTTGTTTCTTCTCGTTTTATTTTGTTTAAAGTTTAAATTACAAAAGAGTTTGCCAAAATCACCAAATGACAATTTTATTTGTTGACGTTCTTACTTTGAAATACAAACTTTATGCCTTAGCCAATCAGAACGTTGTTGATTACCAGGCGTTAGTCGGGCATGCGCATAACTGACAAAACCGTCGACCGTCCACCGTTCACGGTCCATGGCAGACAACTTTGGATTTCGCTATGTTCCCTAATCTCCGAGCGGAATTATTACCGTCGCAGCCGCTGCGTGCCCGCCCGGGGACCGAGGGCACATATTGATAAGAGTGTCTTGTACACTGAAATGTTTACCTTTTGTAATAATGATAAAAATAATGAATCGCTTAAACTTTAAAAAGAGTTCTCAAAAGTGTACTTCAGAGTTTTGATAAAACAAATATCACTTTGCAGCTTATATAATCGCTAAAATCATTGAATAAAATAAATAATCGAAAAACAACATTCGACGTTTAGTGCTTGTATTGTTATTATAATTATTTGTGCTGTTTTGATGTTTTGAAGGTTTAGCTATAGTAAACTTTAACACTCACTTTAACTGCAACGTGATGCAGCAGGCAAACAGGTGATTTCTGCATGTTCACCTTTACGAGTGTTTTTGTTTTCGAAAAATTTGCACGAGTTATTTCATAATATTAGCGTAGAAAGTTAGGTCTGGGTAGCGCACGAAATATTTTGCTTCGTTTAAAATCACGAGGGGTTGCTGCGTGCATGCAAGTAATAATAATAATCATACATGTATGAGTATTATTACGATTTATTTACATTAATAATTTATGTGTGTTCCTCAGAGTTGCAAAAAGAGTTCAACCTTCCTCCGGTAGGATTTCAAGTTCTGAAAACCTTCCTCAAAATGACCTTACGTAACTGAGTCAAGTGGCAACCAGCATAAAAAAATATTTGGTTTCTTGGTACATATACATGTGATCAATTATAGTGTTCAACTTTGAACCTTCCTCACAAACCTAATTTAAAGCAAACCTTCCTCCAGGTGGTACCCGCGGCTTTTTTGCAACTCTGGTGTTCCTTAAGTAACTTGTTTGTCAAGCAACCTGATGACATATTTTGTTTTTTCCGCGTGCATGGTAAGATTATCATGCTTCATGAAACGCGCTGAGACAAATTACTAATCGGTATCAGACGAACTGTTTTTGACATTTCTAACCCCATGAAAATAATATAAATTATGTCAATCAAAATATGAATAACCACAAGAATGAGACATATGTAGAATTATATAGCTAGATCAAGCGATATCGTATTTGTACATGAACGTTTTGAAGAATAGCTTCCCTGCTGCATATGCTGTAGTTAGTGTAGTAAAGATTGAACAAGTTTGGGTAGGACAATTTAAGGGTTGTTTTATACCCCTTAACAGCTCGGATAAACTCTGCAAACATAAGGTGTTGTTCGCTCAAACTGCTTAAGATTGCGAGCTTTTGTGGCTTAATCCCAAAGGCTGTACATAATAACCAGTCAGCTAATCATGCACGAATTATACATTTTTATAGCCAAGTCCGTTCTGGGCATCGGTTCTGCTCGATCATAACAACGTGAGAGTGATGCGAAAATTGCCGAAAATTCCGCATTTTTAAAATTTTTACCTCTATAATCCATTTAGCGAAACTTAAACAATGTTTGATACTTTCACAGCACATCGTATTGTTTAAAAATATTGCCAGTTTGTTTTAACCGTATAATTTATATAGTTGATAACCATATAGTTTTATTATGTTGCACACTATCGCAAATGGATTTTGTTAGCATCTTCAGTGACTAATCTCAAAGGCATTTTGCAAAAGGAAGTATGTAGTCACATCACTCGCATGCGTTTATATAAATGTTGATAAACATGGAAGGCCTTCAAATCGATGACCCATGAAAAAAATATGCAATCACAACCAAAAACATACGGTGCTAGTATATGTATTTCTCGATCACCCTTACTTTCTATTCTAACTTTGCTTTGTGAGATCTTGCTTTAATGACTGAAAACTACATATCCACTAATATGCATGTGAATGACCTTTACAAACACGGTCGACCTAGTGTTGAAACAAAATTGGCCCGCGGGATATTTTCATGTTAATGTTTGGTGCATTAAATGTCTTTGATGGTACGCGCTGGAACAAACTTCATGGGTTAAATCACCTACTGTATAAACAATAGTTTGTTTTTGACACGCAGTATAATCCCCTACAATACAGACCAAATTACCCATCGTAATAAAATAAGACAGGAGATTATCATCTGACTGACGACAAATATATTTACGTGTTCTGGTGTCGATCTGAGAATAGGAGCAGAATGTCGGGGGGTCATAACTTTGGACAATCATTTATTTTTTTATTAGCAACACCATGCATATATAACACGAATGGGAAGTTTAGAAGTTAACACAGATTTGGAGAATCAACAGAAGAACATATTCTGGTAGTACTATGGGTCGGTTTCATTCCGAACAGCATGCATCATAATTATAACATATAAAGCATTAAAAAATTTTATGGTGGTGTAGTTGACATTTGCTGACAAGCTATAGTTAATGTAGGACAAGGTTTAGGCATGTTGTAAAACGTGCACTGGACTATGGATTGGACTGGAGTTGTGAATTATGGATATTGATATTAACAAGATTTCAGACCAACAAATTCTAAGATTGGTGTCCATTCATGTTTTACCCATGGAAAACAATATCCAATCTCAATTAAAAACATACGGTGCAAGCATATCTAGTAAGTAAGTAAGTAAGTAAGTAAAAACTTTATTTGACTACGCTAACCCCTACAGCATACGCTGGTTTCCAAGGGGGACGTAGGTTAAAAAATGTTACAAATAATTAACTTACAACAGAGATTACAGATATAAACGAAAAGTTACAATTACACATTACACTTACATCTACTAATTACAAATTATTAATTAACACATATATTACTAAATTAGTTTAGTCTACTGGCCAGGTGTCGCACACTTGAGTTAAATAGATTAAATGATTGTATATTTCTTACTTCATCTGGAAGGCTATTCCACAACTTTGCTCCTCTATAACTAAGACTTTTCTTAAGATATTCTGTCTTGGGTTTAGGCAATTGGAGCTGCGTGGTAGAACCTCGTAGATTATAATGCTGAGAGGAAGGCGTCTTATGAAAAAGATCGGTTAATTGCTTAGGCGCTATTTCATGAGTTATTTTATACATGAGACTTGCTGAAAATTGAATTCTACGTTCTTTCAAAGTAGTCCATTTTAGTTCATTTAACGCAAGTTCAGATTGGCCGTGTTCATTTTTACGACCTGTAATCACTCTAGCAGCCCTATTTTGTAATTTTTGGAGACGATCAGCAAGGGTGGTACCAATAGTATCCGAAACTTCGCAGCAATAGTCAAAGTGTGGTAATATGAGTGCATTATAGGCACTAATTAATGTATTTCGATCCACACAAGACTTAAGCTTTCTGATTGCTCCAATTCCGGATATCTATATATTTCCCAAATATCCTTACTTTCTAACTTTGCTTTGTGAGATCTAGCTTTAATGAGTGAAAATTACATATCTATACTAACATGTGAATGGCATTTACAAACACAGTCGACCTAGTGTTGAAGCAAAATTGGTCCACGAGATATTTTCATGTTAATGTTTGGTGCATTAAATGTCTTTGATGGTACGCGCTGGAACAAACTTCATGGGTTAAATTACCTATCTGTATAAACAATGGTTTGTTTTTGACACACGTATATAATCCCCTACAATTCAGACCAAATTACCCATCGTATTGAAATAAGACACAAGATAATCATCTGACTGACGACAAATATATTTACGTGTTCTGGAATCGATCTGAGAATAGGAGCAGCGGGGGTCATAATTTTGGACAAACATTTATTTTACATTAGTCATTAGCCAC